TTGTGTATTATCTTTTGATTTTAATTTATAAAATTACGTGATTACCTATAAAAAAAAAAAACATTTCCTACCAGAGCACACAAATCCAATGTGAATCGCTTTAGCTTACATCTTGTAGCCATCAGAAGTGTAAACCTCCTTCAGATTTGATATCCTTTGATCAAAAGCAACTGTTTTGCCAATATCATAATCTCTAACAAGAACTAGCCTCTCAGCATTACCCTATAAGAAAAATATGAAACATTACAAACCTGTCAGAAATGCACAAGAGAGGAGAAGAAACAGGAAGAACCCAGACTAAACTTTGATGCAATATTAAGGAAACTAAAGGGCAAACGTGAAAGTATAGACTGAATTCTTCGACAATAAAAATCAGTATTAGAAAGCGTCATTCCTCCAAAACACATACATGAATAAACCTTTTTGAAGGTGTAAAAGTATTATGTACATAACCTAGTGTGTATAATCTCAGCGCACATAGTATGATACTGTGAACTTTTGGGGCAAGCCCACATGGTTTTGTTCTTGGGCTTTCGCAGAAGGACGTGGGATTTGGCTGCTACATAGTGCACATATATATGAGAAACATAATCTAAGATTCAGACTAAAAGATAAAGACAATGACAGAATGAACCTCAAAAAGTAATAAAATAAGTTGTCAAAATAAAACACCAAGAAATCGCAAAATTTACCACATCAACCAAAACATTCAGCACTGTAGGATTGTCCGATCGGATAATGGAGAATACAGTTGGGTGATTAGTCTGGGGAAGCATGTGAGTCGGAATGTTCAACCTGCCAACATAGAAGCTCATCATTTAGAACAAATTCTGTAGGGGAAACATAATAACAAGTTGGTTATATACATATGTATAGTCAACTCATTACCTTGGTCTGGAAAATTCATATATGATAATCTGAAGGTGGTTATAATTTGCTTCCCTAGCACATGCTCGTAAAACAAGGGAATCTTTATGATCTGTAACAACGAAAGCATTAAGCAACCTGCCAACTGCATTTTCAATAGCAGTAGACCACATATCACCATGTTCCAAGTTCTGCATCAAATGAATCATCAAAAACATGGAATAAGTGATTTTGAGATATGTAAACTCTAACTAAAAATAAGCATGCCCTAGCGTTTATTTAAAACCTAAAGATCACAAATCTAACAGGCTAAAAGTCAAAAATCCACTTCACTAGAGTAGAATTGAGATGATATTAGATCGTGTATGTATTCAGTACACGGAAGAAGCATAATTGTGGTTATATGAATGTTTTTGATAAGCAACCAAAAAACTAGTCTGATGAACCTGTAGAATAAGTAGAAACAAAACTCTTCTTTAGACTCAATGAAATAAAGCATCATCCCATAAAACACTTCAGATTAAGTTCACTCTGACCCAGATGACTTCCATAAAAAGAGACAAGGACCTTCCTAGGTGAGTAGATCATGGGTGCTTGAGTATACAAGCAAGGTGGGGGAATCTGGAACCAAAAAAAAAAGGTGGAAAATGACAGAGGACAACAGGAAAAGAGATTTTCATTTAAATTAACTGAAAGAATAGCATTGGCTTTAATTCCGAAATTTGAAACGCAACAATATCATCAATAATCTTTTTATTCTTCTTACAAGATTGAACAGCTAATGCTAGGAGATCCAGAAAAAAAAACCAATTAGCATCACCAAGAATGCAAAACAATCTCCTAAGGTACAGAGATGTCAGACCGGAATACATTAATTTCTCACACAAGGTTTTAAAAATAATAGATTACATAACAGATTGTCCTGCAGGTAAGTACCCTCCATTATTTCCATGTGCACCTTCTTGAAATGAGAAAGAAGGGAACACAAGAAGTCCCCAAAGAAAGTTTTTAATTCAGTTTGTAACCTTGACTTTTGGAACATGTATTATTATTGTGATTGTATTGACTAAGTCGGCGATGCACTGCTATCATGCTGAGGAATGTCATCTCAGATAGCATTCACTCGGGGACAATGTGGAGAGAAATAAGAAAAAAAAATTCGTCAATTAGATTATGTAATTCATCAACAAGCATTTCATGTAAGAGGTACAGCAGGATTTAGTCACGTAAACATTTCACCATCCCACTTCGTTAAATTGCTTGTAAAAATGAGAAATTACACATTCCGCAATCCCACTCAAGAAAAGAGAAATATGAAGAAAAAACAACTAATCATAATAATTCATGCAAGTTTACAAAAGCAAATGCAGTGCATTCATGCAGATTATAATTTGCACGGTCATCTTGGTTATTTTACCACATGGGCACCTATGGGACCAATAGGTGGCCTCTTAAATCTATGTTGATGTCGCTCAATCGCTTGCAAAAGACTGATCACTCTACCGCCTCCAAAAGCTGTGACCTGCAAAGAAAAAAAAAATGATGTCACTGTCCAGAAAAAATATAGTCATGGTACTAAAAGATGCACAAGGTTTGATAAATTCAAAAATATTCTATTGTTTCACAAGGCAGATGCTGTGACTGCATTGACCAGTGCAAAGGCACAAACTTAATTTCCTGCAACACTTCCCCAACAGAATGGAGCATGTGGACAATGTGACTATGAAGAGCTTCAAACACTGTTTGCATTTACAGAAAGCATGCAAAAGGAAAGAAGGGCAACAATATGAAAAAGAAAATCAGTTCATGTATATCTCAAGGCTTAAAAAATCCCGATTAAGGCCCACCTAAAGCCAGCCTCAGAGTGAGGCAAACCAAAAAATGGCTCTCAAGGCGCTGATTGTGAGGGTGTATGCCTTAGTTAAGTGAGGCACACACCTCACAACACCACCTCAAGGCTTGTGAGGCATGTGCTTCTTAATTCTCCTGATTGACCAATTTTGAGAATAGACCACTATCCCTCCAAAACATTAAAAAATTCTGTTTCTTAAAGACCCACTATGAGAACAGACACAGTCCAATGTCCCCACCAACTAAAATTATAGTTTCATTTTGTTACTCTATAGATTTTTCTTTTGTTGTTAACACACATTAAATTTTTCTTCACGAATTTTGAAAATTGTTTATGATTTATTCTGTGCTTTTGCACTTTAGTGCCTGGTTGAGCCCTATTTTTTTTTTTTTTGGGAAAATATATTTTGAAATAGTGATTTTTTTTTTTTGGAGGATGTGATTAAAAAATAGGAAAAGTTTTGGGTTAACGTGTAAAATTATTTTATGGGAGAATGTGTGGTTGAAAATAAGTTTTGAGAAAAATGAGACTCAAACAAGGCTTAATAATATTTTTGACATTTTTTTTTAGCTGAAGCTTACACATTGCCTGACGAACGAAAAAGCATCATTACCCGAATACACCCTTGTAAACTAAACAAAGGAAACATTATCACCTGGTTTGTTTGGTGCATTTGGAGCTCACGAATGTGAGAAGAAATTTCATGATGCCTTTTTTCAGTATCTTCAATCTGAAAAGAAGTTATGAGAGGCATAAATCATGGATCCCAACTTAATACAAAAAAATATACGAAGGACGAGATTATAAAAATTAGACTAAAAAAACCATTAGCAGACGTGCCTAAAAATCTAAATACATCAAAACTAATATATTTCTAGAGTTTCAACTGCTAAACCATAAGGATATGGAAACTCTCGTGCAAAAAGTTTGCAGCAACATTAATCCACTTTTTCCAAATAAAATAACCTGATAGCAGTTTATAATTGAATTTTCAAAGAGGTGTAAAAAAGTACAAGAATGTACTATACATCAAAAAACCATGGTGACAAAAGTTTTGATACCTGAGATGCAATTTTTCTAATTTCATCTTTTGCCATTGTTAAACGTTCTGTCAATGCATCCTCTTCGTCCTTCAATCTGAATATAATCATTTCAATCGGATCGAAAGGATAACTGAGCAAAAGCAAAAGCCAGCATAAACCAACACATTGCATATGTTAGAAGCTTGATCAGTTACCTCTGACATATAGCATTAGCTTCGTCAACTTCAACTTGAAGTTCCTTAAGCTTTTCCTCCATCTCATTTTCTTCAGCCTACAAACCAAGAAGGCATTACTAGTGCATAATCATTACTGTAAATTGGATGGAAGTAAAATAAGTTCCATCTGTGCTAAAAGTTTAAGAAGAATACTGTAGTAATATTCTGAGAAATTTGATGAGAGCGTTTATTGGTATTCCTTGGCAAATAATAACGTGATGAAAAGCCCGCATGCAATTATTTGCCAAATTCTACCCAAATATGCATCAAAACCAAGATAGATCCAACAAACTGGAGGGGCAAGACACCAAAATGGTTTCAAATTACATAAACAGCTTGGATTAATCCTACCAGGCAGAGCTAGGTTGGAAAGAAGAGAAACGAACCCCGCCTTTCCACTGAAACTCTAGGCATGCAATTGGAGAAACTTATATACTAAACTAATATATGTAATGTTAACCACTATAAAATTGCAATCGGCCAATGACAACTAAAGCTCATTGCAATTTTTAAGGTTCCAATATCTTCAAAATATGTATAGCTAATATTAGTAAGAAATAACCTACTTCCACTTCCAAAGGCAAAGAGACCAGTAAACAACTCCAGCCCACGTCTTACAAATTGGGTATATTTCTACCATCTGAAGTAGTGGTAGTGTATAGGTTCAAAGTAAGACCAGGACTCAACATAGCATCTATCAAAAATTTCACAATTTTATGTGTTATTTTTTCTTTTTCGTTTAAGAGAACAGGACAGCATACCAACAGAAAAGATTAATGAAAGTTATAATGGTCCCTAGTGATGTTTAATGAGCAATTCATTTTAAAAGACTTGGGCTTCGGCTATTTCTTCTACAACAAATTCTAACTACCATAATATCTCCCCAGTGTTCTCTAACTTAAACAAGCAGAATAGCTTATAGGATATGATAATTGCATAAATTGTCACGAGAAGAAAGCGAGCTGGTTTGGTCTGCACCATTTTTAAGCATGTAGGCTGCAAGTTCATAGTAATTGACTTTAAAAAAGCAACCAATAGGAACATTGACAAGCTGATCAACTGCCATTTTAAGCATATAGTGTAATGCCCCAAAATTTTTCATAGAATATAATTTAAATTCTACGTGCTATATCTTGATGTTTTGAAGGTTAGGGACTAGAATGATATATATAGCAATTTAAATTTTATATTTGAGTCGTATATTTAGATTTTGACCGAATATGATAAGTAT